TCTTTACCATTCAAAATATTTTCTTAATATTGTTCTACTACAGAGATTCTAGTGGACCATACATGGTCTGTAAAACACTTGCTGTGAATAAGGGAGAACCCACTGGTCACATGATACAAGCTTGTCATTTTACCTTATTAAAGACAACTAAAAGGACAAACACTTTTCTAAATATTATTTTCCAGCAATCATTATAGCTGCCATGGGAATATTATAAAATATTAAAAATAGGAAGGAAGGTGGCTTGTGAGACAGAGAACAGGAGAAGGCAATATCTGTATTAAAGTATGGCCCAAAATATAAAAGTTGGACAACTCCTGACAAAATTGGAACGTTCTTAAAATGAACAAAGGAAATGATGAATTCTTCTACATCATTCAAATTCTGCTTTAATGTAAGCGAAAAGGCTTCCGTCACTATTTTTTAGAAATCAGGTTCCCATCAGTTTTAAGATCAAATTCATGTTTTTATTTATGCAATAAAGTTTTAATTTAAGAAACACCTAAAATTCCTTTCAGTGATAGCCCCCGGCTTGGTTGCAGATATAAAAAGAAAACTTCATATCAACAGAAAGGAAACAAATACAAAAGCACTACAGGATTTATGTTCTCAGCATTTGAATCAATGTAAAAATCAAGTAATTTTCTATTATTTTGTTGCTTTACTGATTAATGACTAATTTGCTACCAGGTACAACAAACAAAATGATGATACAGTGTTAAGCCAAAGCAAGCAAGAATATAAAATAGGGTAACTACTGTCACTGTTCAAATGCAAAGAATCCTAACAAACTAATTATGATTAGACAGTAATAGACTGAAGCAGACTTTTGTCAACATGCCATGTTTTGCCCTCACCTTTACTTAGATTACAGATGCCAAAATATGCAACGTAAGTTATATTTTGCTGTACTTCAAACCTCTTCCCAATCTAGGAGCACATACAAACATGATAGGCTGTCCTTCACTCTCCATTAAAATCTTGGGGGTACCCTTAAAAAACATGTTTTGACTTCAGTACCAGAACAGCTTGAACAAGGGTCAACAAAACAACAAAACAAGACAAGAGTGATTTTGGACAGAAATGGTGTAGAAGGAAGAATTATTGAGTTCTTAACTGTACAGTACTGTACTATTTGTTTAAAATCATCATTTTAGTCTAGAAAGTATATTATACAATAGGAAAAAAACCTGTTACTTCAAGTTTAATCCTACTTCTAATAAAGATATTTCAAAATTAATTTAATTTTTTTTTTCCCAAACAGAACACAAATGTTTTATGCAAATAAAAACATAGCAGTGCAAAAGAGTTAGCATACCTGGGCTACCAGAGCCTGGATGTTACAGAAGTCTAGAGATATATTTTAGTGAATCTGATCTTAAAAGTTCTCTTTTATGAAGTCTGCTCTACTGTGAAAGCGACATTTGAAAAGAGAAGCCATGTCTATAGTGCCCTTAAGGCTATAGTTATATAAAACTACCTGTAAAACTTGATTTATAAGCAAGTTCTCATAAGCACAATGCAAGATTGGTGCTAAAGCAAATGCTGCCAACTTGAAAAAACTAATCATCCCAGATGAGTGAGCTTTCCTTACCAAATGAGGGGAGCTACAGCATTAATTTCTACAGAATAAGTCTTTAAAACAAATTATAGCCCTTATAATTGTAAAGATAACCTGCCAAATTTGAACAAAAAGTAAACCAATTAAATGCCACAAAAATGGAGGCTGTGGAAGAAGCAGAGACCTCTAACCAGCTGCCTGAGTACTGTGCGGAGTATAGAAGGAAAAGATGCTCTCTCCCATCTACTTCAGCCAGAATGCTGGTGGAAGGATAGAGTAACAGAGCCTTTCCATCCTTGCAGATGCCAGAAAGCTCTGGGGAATGGGTAGAATAATGAAGAATCCCCCAACTCAATAGCCAGAAGGTTCTGGGAGAGGAATAAGAGAGAAAGCTCCTTCATCCTTTCAGGAAAAAAGAGGATGGTGAAGCTTCAAATTTATTAGACTTTTACTAACCAGAAGCCCATACAAAACAGAACCCCTGAGCAGAGTAGGAAGGAACCCTGGCAGAAATCAGAGCACCTTCCCATTGCTCAGCAGGTGATGTGGCAGAGAAAGTGGAATGGACTAGAGCCTTGTCCCTGGGCCTCCCTGACAAAGACCCAACTCTTCTTTCATATTTAACTCTGAAGTACATTTGGTGTTCTAGGTAAGCGTCTGGTAAATTTTTCAGATTCTGCAAATGTTAAATATCTTCACAGAGAAAATATGATTAAGCTTATTTTTTCCCTTAATAATTACGCTATTTGAAATAGTTAATTACTTAAAGAAATAAACATTTTATAATTAAAGAGACAAAGAAATAATCACCTTAGTTTTTAATCACCTAGAGAGAACTCAGAATGGTGACAATTACAGTATTGTACTAAATTAGTACTACATCGACTTAAAATAGCTATACACCTGGAGGATCATATTAAAAAAGATATTCCTATTTAAGGTCCAGTCTGCTACTACTTATCCACACATAGTTACACCATTCAATAGAATGAAAAGAAATAATTTATTGTGCAAGAGTTGCAAGTTTGGGCCCAGTCTTGGGCTCTAAGACATTTCCTCTTAAAACTACTTATTTTATACAGTCTTGAGGGCTTTTCATTAATTTTGTTGCTCTCAACTGGAGTTGGATCAGACTCTAAGTAACTGGCTCAAAGTCATACTGACAGCGTAGAATCCTGACTTCACTGAAATCAGCTGGAGTTTTGCCATTCACTTCAACAGGGCCCAGATTTCACCAGACATCTGCAGCAGAGCCAGGAAGACCCCAATCTCCAGGCTCTCTGTCTTAGTACCTTGTGAAAATAGTGAACATATTAGCACATACTCTTCTACTTCATAAAATCTGCAAAACTCCTGTCTATTTTTTCACTCCTAGAGTTACAACATCAGTTTTTTGAATAATAGCTATTGCTTCTATTAATTTTAAACAAAGTACTTTAAAAATGCTCAGATTTTTTTATGTAAAATAGAACAATACCAATTTTACTGTATTCAACTTACTTTCTCGGAAACGTATATTTACTTACAAAAAAAACTTTTAAATCATAAGTTACAAATCTACAAACTAATTTGGGGGCATCAGTTCTTGTATAATCAAGTCTTAAAACACATCAGAAGCAAAAACTTCAGAAAGTGAATAATAGTTAATAAGATTAATCTAACATTACAACTAGAAAAACACAAACAAAAAGTGTGTTCTCAAAGGTTTGCCAACTTAGTATTTAATTGGGGCTAGATCATATGCCAGAGTTCCACCTCTGGAAACTTGAGTCCATTTATGTGCACTAAGTTACAAGGTACAGCGAACCTGGTAATAGCAATACAGATCCCAGTGCATGGGTAGTCCCATCATAAAATTAATAGACCACATTTCTCAATAACTGATAATATGCTCCAGAAGTCCAGGCTTAAAGAATTGAGTGTCACATGTGTAGACTATGTAGAAATTTCAGAGCTATATAGCAGTCTAGAACTGTAACAACAAGGGATGTTGCAATTTTAGCGTAGGAGAACTGTCAGGGCGCATTGGGTAACCAGAAGTGAAACGTAACAGGGATGCTACAGGGCAGGAATAGGACCAAATGCAAAAGCCGCGAGGGACCAAGATTAGAAATGCAGGGAGTACTGCAGAGTTGGAATGCTTGGGTGCTACAGAATATTATTATTTTCTTTAATTGCCGATAGTGGCCACAGTGTGCAAGGCACTTTTCAAATATAAGAGAAAGCGTGTTTCAGGTGCTGCAGCACACCACAGTACAGTCACGGGAGGTCATGTCTGCAGTACCTGGCATCACTGTCCATTCTATTTAGACCTTTCTACCTCACCTATCACAACCATGATATTGGCATGCCTGTAAAACAGAAGTGGTGAGGGTGTTACAGGGCACCCTCAGAGGCATCACAGCAGAAACATGCAAGGAGCAGACAAAGCAGTCCTGGGAGCCAGGTCTACACAGGGGAACAGCATTATTATTTGTTCTGATTTCCAGTAGTGACCACAGTGTGCTAGGCACGTTGTAGATATAAGAGATGTGTTTGGGGTGCTTAAGCACGCTGCCCAGAGGATGGCCCAAGGTGCTACAGGATAGGGCATGGTCAGAGTGCAGGAAGTCTGCTTTACCCGAGGACAATGGGAGGTGCTGGGAATAGGCAGGGCTGCATGAGAAAATATAAGGGCACTCCAGGGCAGGGCTATGGGGCAGGCAGACAGCCAGGGACGCTTCGGGACAGACAGCAGGGACTGATAACGGGGGGCACTTGAGGGCAGACAGCAGGCGACGCTGCCGGGGGAACACAAACTGCCAGTGGGCCACAGCGGGTCAGCAAGGGAGATCAGGTCAGCGCCTACTGTGGAGCAGCAACGGTTACCGCACGGGCCCAGCACGCGCTGGTCCGATTCCCCAGGATGCTCAACCCCGCCCCCCGTGTGCCCTGAGGCAGGGAGGGTGCGAGGAGGCTGTTCCCACGGTCCCGGTCCCCGCCCCCTAGACCCCAGGTACCATTACCCAGCAAGCCCAGCGCCGCGCCGCCATCCTGCTGCCGGCCAGCTCCCACGGGAACCACACAGCCTCGCGAGAACTCACTCCCTTTCCCTCCGCCTTGTCTCATACTGTCCCCTCCCACACAGCTGCGCTAGGAATCAACATGGCGGTAGCGCCGCGCACGTGTCCCGGTCCCGCAGCAAACGCCTCGTACTGGCACCCAGCGCGCGCACACGCACATGTACACGCACGCGACGGGAGGGGGGGTAGAGCCGATGCGCACGCGCAAGAGTTGCCTTGCTGCTCCGGTCCCAGGCAGTTGCAATTCGAACGGGGCGCGCGAGCCTCCTCCCCCACGCCCTGGTCACGTGGGAATTTCCCCCTCCATCTGCCCCCCCTCGCGGGCGCCGAATTCAGCATCATCCGGGTCCCCCCTTTCCCTTGTGTCGAGGCCTCACCTGGCTCCCGCTATCTCGCGCGCACGGAGCCCGCCGGCAGAGGAGCCGTTTCACCTGCTCGTTCGCTCCGTGCCGCGCACCAGGCAGCGGCGGCGGCGGCGGCGGCTCCACACAGCGCCTGCTCCCCCCTCAGCGCGGCGGCTCCTTCCGCTTCCTTCCCCTCCCCCCGCTGCAGCGGGGACCCGCTCCCTGCAGCTCCGCCTGCTGGTAGCTGGGGGAGGCGGCCAGCCGCCGCCTACGCTCGCGGGGTGAGGGTCGGCGTTGCCCCGCGGAGCTGGACGCGCCGAGTGACTGTTCTCCCCGAGTAGCGTAGGGGGAAAGTCCCTGGCTGGGCGCGAGCCGGCTCTGCCCACAGGGACGCGACGGGCGTCTGGCCAGAGGGCGTGTGAGTCAAGACCGGGCTGGGCCTGACTTGGGCACTGTGAGATGAGGATGGTGGAAGCAAGAGGTGCGAGGGATGGGTCAGAGCTGCTGCGTTCCCTGCCCCCACCATCCCCACCTAAAACCTTCTATCTTCAGAGCATGCAGGCAATGGGGTGGCAAGGCCCAGCCATAGGAAGTGGTTCCATCTGCTCCCCAGGCAGGCAGCTCTGGCTTCTGGGCTTTTAGACCAGTGACTCTCAAACTTTTGTACTGGGGACCCCTTTCACATAGCAAGCCTCTGAGTGTGACCCCCTCTTATAAATTAAAAACACTTGTTTATATATTTAACACCATTATAAATGCTGGAGGCAAAGTGGGATTTGGGGTGGAGGCTGACAGCTTGTGACCCCCCCATGCAATAACCTCCTGACCCCCCCGTTTGAGAACCCCTGTTTTAGACTGTTGCCCACCCCCCTTTGGCTTAACCACATAAGCAACTTTGGGGGGGGTTCCACGTTTGTGTCCATTAGGAAGAGAAATTGATGAGGTGAGTCAGGTGTATTTTTTGGCACAATCCTGTTGATTTACAAAGGATGTGCAGAGAGCCCTGTTTCCATTAGAGCAGTGGTTCCCAAACTGGGGTTCGTGAACCCCTGGGGGTTCACGAAACGTTACAGGGGGTTCTCGGGAAAAAATTCCCTAATGGCGGACAGAGCTCTCCTTAGGGACCCTGGGCAGCATGGGACCAGCAGCCCGGAGCCCCTGGACTTCCAAGAGCTAAGCAGATCAAAGCAAGCACATCTATCACACTGAGGAGATTTAAACTTCAAGACTCCTTATAAGAAATGGAAAAGGAGGTGGATATTTTTTGCCGTTTTTAAAATTAAATAGGCAGCTAGTATTGTTTTTAAAATTATTATGAAGAACAAGTTTAAGCTTCGTTGTAACGTGTATTGTTTGCTTGAACTGCTCAAGACCTGAATGCTTGTATAAGAGGAACTCTTTGAGTTGGCTTCTTAGATATCTTCATGCTGTTTCACATCTGATACTTCTTGATGAAACATAGGAGCCTTGTCTTATAACAAGCTTATTCAAAGTGATACAAGCTATGAAAGTGAGATCTTGGAAGAGTGCTGCCATTTTCATAATGTAATAAAATACTGTAATGATAAATAATAATTAATAATAAATAGTGTGTAATAAGCATGTCATAAAAACAAATTTTATATTTCCAAGATCACTGCTTTTATAATTTATACTCAGGTAAAGGAGAAAATCCCTGGAAATATTCCTTTTTAGGAGGGGGTTCGCGAGACTTGACATTTTGGTGAAAGGGGTTCACAGGTTGTTAAAGTTTGGGAACCACTGCATTAGAGTGACCTGATGACCTGATTTTATAGGGACAGTCCCAATTTTTGGGTCTTTTTCTTATATAGGCTCCTATTACCCACCCCCTGTCCTGATTTTTCACACTTGCTGTCTAGTCACCCTAGTTTCCCTGGATGTTGTAATGAGTAAGGCAGTTTCCTTGCTGAGCCAATCCCCAAACCAGTCAGTTCTCAAGGAATTTTGTGTGTCTGCTCCTTCTCAGGACCACGCTTATGCCAAAGAGGCTTCTGTCGCTGTCTGCTGGCTTTCTTCTCTACATGCACTTTGCAAATGCAGAAGCTATGGGAGCACAAGCTATCAGGGAACACATCATCCCACACAGGTTAGCTTCTGCTCAAGCATTGCCATATAGCCCATTGCTTTGGGCAGTGGCAGCTTTTATTTCCAACTATGTCACAACATAAAAGAGCTTAATTGTGCCTTCCCTGGAGCCTGAAAGACAGGTGATTAGCTTTAACCAGATTTGTGATTGTAGATGAAAGACCCGCTTGATGGCAGCCATTAAACATCTTTCCAGCACAACAACATTGTCTTTATCTGTGGCCTTTTCTAGGGCAAGAAGGCTAACTTTATCACTGCTCACAAGGAACAAGGGTCTACGCATCCTGACCTGTCACAGGCGCTGGCACCTTCCCTTATATTTTATCCAAACTGATACTGCCTACCTTTTTTCCAAGACCTTTTCAATCAGCTATCTGACTGAAGTCAGTGAGGGAGCTCCGCACAGAAGCTGTAGTAGCTGTTCTGTTTGTTTTCACTCTAGGATGCTGTCTGTCTTTAGGCAGATCTGATATATCTTTTATTGGTCTCTTCCTCCTCCATGGTTGCAATTAATTACTATTCAGATATTTAGGGATTTATAAAGGATTAGCAGAACCTTAAATTTAGCCTGTAAAGAATACAGATAAAGGTAGTACATTACTAATATCAGCCCACCTGTCTGTGAAAGCTGTCCTTTGCACTACCAGAAGCTTCTAGTCAGCCTTCATGGTTAATCCCAGGTTGATTATAGTGTAGAAACCCAACCTAGGGATTAACAAGTGTGTGGATGATTATGCAGTAGCAACTCTATAGTTAAGGATGCTACAGGATTTCCTCTTAAAGCCAAATTTTCAAACATATAAAATCCAGATAAGTAATTATAGCATCTTGAAAATTAGTATGTCAGTTCAGGGCCTGGCATAGAGTTTATGGTGCAAATTAGAGATCAGGCACTCCAGGGGTTCCTGTGATACATACTGCCCAAACTACCTCTCCAAACAAAATACCTGTTTTTAAAATTGAAAGTGTCTTATGTTTTTGTACAGAGGTCAGGTAAAAAAGAGGGGTTTAAAGGAGAGTAAAACTGTATCATTAGGCAGGTAAGAGGGCCAGAGCTGATAGCTGCTGGGCTCTAAAGAGAGTAATTCCTAGCCCCACACCACTTGCTGCCCCACACCACTTGGTGCTGCCAGTTGGTTAAGTCCCTGCCTCCCCATTGTCAAGGAAAGCATCTTCACAGGATTTGCTAAAAGGGGACATGATCCCTTCAATTCCAAGATGATGCATCTTCAAGGGCAGGGCCATTGCCCTGTCCACATGGCCTACAGTGAGGGTGCTGGGCTCTGGCCAGGCTTTCTGTAGACTGGGTTTAGGAGGAAGCCCCATCCACTAGTGGCAGAGATTCCCTCTGGGGAAGATTTAAATCCATATATGGGAGTATGCTCCATTGTAAGAAATCCCTGGTCTAGGAGGGCAGAGTTTCTGTATGCCCAACCAATAGAAGATGGGGCTCAACATGAGCCGGGTTCCTCCAGAAAGCAGGAGGAAGGGCAGTGGTCCTATCCCTGAAAATGTATTTTCTTAGATTAGTGGGCCCCTGAAGATTCATTTCATGTGATGCGGGAGGCAGTGGCACCTCAAAGAAGGAGATGGGATGAGCAAGCCATCAGCCAACTGCTGAAGACTACAGGAGAGGATGGAGTGGATTGGTCCTTGGACCCTCCAGATGACACCAAGGGTGAGTCCTGGACGGGCAAGAGGGGCTACTCAGCTGAAGGAGAGGAGCTGGGGGTTCAGGGATGTAAGGGTGGGGATAGTAGAGGGATTGGAGCTGTGTCACAGGGGAAGAGCTGATTGCGGGATAGGCAGGTAGTCGAAGCTGTGGATTGGAGCTGAGGCAGTAGAGATAGAAGTGGGCAGGAGAGCCAGAGTGGAGGGAAGCAATGTGGGGGATGAAAGGAAGTCAAAGCTTTCAATCTGGTAGCTGGATCCAAAATAAAGTCTCTCAGAGAGGGGCTTGTATGAGGAAGGGTGACGCATGGGACAGATTTCTGACAAGAGCATCATTAATAATCATGGTATTTCTATGTGGATTTGAAGTAGGGTGATGGAGTCATCCCTAACTCTGCTGCCTCCACAGCACTGATTGCAGAATGCACAGAGGATACAAGTAGGGGATTTTGCAAGCGTTGCCAAGAAATACCTCACTTCATGGTCTCCAATAAAATACTGGGCCATTACTGTGGCTTTTAGGTCCTTTTAGCTCATCTAGACCAGTGGTTCTCAACCAGGGGTACATGTACCCATGGGAGAACGCAGAGGTCTTCGACAGGGTACATCAACTCATCTAGATACTTGCCTAGTTTTACAACAGGTTATATAAAAAGTACTAGCGGTCAGCACAAACTAAAATTTCGTACAATGACTTGTTTATACTGCGCTATATACTATACACTGAAATGTTAATATATTATTTATATTCCAATTGATTTATTTTATTATTATATTCTAAAAATGGGAAAGTAAGCATTTTTTCAGTAATAGCGTGCTGTGACACTTTTATATTTTTATTAGGGCTGTCAAGCGATTAAAAAAATTCATAGTGATTAATCACGTGATTAAAAAATCAAAAATAATATAAAGTGAGCACTCTACACTTTGTATTCTGTGTTGTAATTGAAATAGATATATTTGAAAATGTAGAAAAACATCGACAAATATTTAATAAATTTCAATTGATATTCTATTGTTTAACAGTGTAATTAATCATGATTAATTTTTTTGAGTTAATCGTGTGAGTTAACTGCGATTAATTGACAGCCCTAATTTTTATGTCTGATTTTGTAAGATAGTAGTTTTTAAGTGAGGTGAAACTTAGAGTACGCAAGACAAATCAGACTCCTGAAAGGGGTACAGTAGTCTGACAAGGTTGAGAACCACTGATGTAGACTTTCCCTTCCGGCATTGTAGGATCATTTCCTGCAATAGGTTTCTTAGCACTTTATCTAGACTGGTTTTAGACATGGATTTCCACAGCAAATAATTTAGATGTCACAAACAAAATACAGAAAATTATAAAGT